CTATCAAATTTGAGCTTGTCTATGTTATTATTCGACATAATTGGTCCATAGAGTTAGTATTTTAAAGTCCAGACTATACATCCCACTCTCGTTGCTAGCATCTCCATAGAATAGATCTTGGGTGTTTCATAGAAAAAATAATTGTTTTCCATGCAACGTTCTCCATCACTGTTGACCCTGACTCGCTTGGTAAAAACCTTTCATTGCCTGTGAAGAAGTTTGACCAATTCAGGAGAGGACGCTGCTACAACTAGAATTTAAAGGATGACTTGAAGTCATCAAGTAACCACAAGAAGCGAAACTGATTCGAGTGCAAATAAGTCAGACACTACATTGCAAATTGTCCTGTTTGGAAAGAAGAAGGCAACAAAGTGAGCAAGAGCAGGAGCAAAGAAGCAGAAATCTAAGAAGAAAGAGATCTCAAGTTCCAAATCCAATTCCTCATCGTACAAGAATAATTCACATCAATCCCAAGCCTATCTTGGTAAGGAAATGGATTCATAAGCTAGGGAATCTGGTTTCGAAGAAGCCCCTGAAGCCGCCTCAACTATCAAGGAACCTGATTCCGACATGGCTGGTATTTCACATGTTTCATCGCCCACTTGTCAATCCATATCTTCAACACTCAAGACAATGATGGTGGTGTCGCCACAATGTGCTTCATGGCTAAAGACTCTAAGGTATCCTCAAGGAGCCCCTCTTATGACTCTAGTGTTGGTGATCTGCTTACTGATGAATTAGAAGGTCTTAAGAAGCCTAGTTATTCAAAGCTTTCCTCTCTAGCTAAGATACAACAAAGGACTCTTGGTAAGCAAGAAGATTTACTAATAGAGGAAACGAAGAAGATCTAATGAACATAAGATTATTCAGTCATAGTTTGAGGAATTTCCATGAGGCTCTTTCATCTGATCATGATAAGCTTCATTTTAAATTCCTCAAAATAAAGCAAGATCTAGAGAAATTGAAAGTGGTTCATCATGATTTAAGGATAAAAAATGATTCCCTACTTGTGCGGCAAATCAGTGATTCTCAAGAAGAATTTGTTCCACCTTCCTTGAAATGTATTGAACGTGAAATGCATTGAAACATGCAGATCACACTTCTGGCCTGGTCTGATGGCGGTAAATAAATATATTTTCCACTTTGGATCTTTCGCGATAAAGGATGGATCGGAGATACGTTTCTGGGAGGACAAGTGATAGGCAATGCCAGTCTTTGGGAATAATATCCAGCCTTGTATTGCATTGTACATGATAAAAAAATGATATGCTTGAGATGTGCTCAGTTCATCACCTTCAAATGTATCATACGGGCGGGATTTGCTTGGTCCATGTGTCTTGTCATGGCAAAATCTAATCTCCCGATTTGATCCGATTAACCTGACACAATGGCGGGAGAATTTTCGCTGGAATCACACTACATCTGGTCCTTCACAATTGACTATGTATCGTGCACTTACGAGTAAGGAGATCCCAGTGGGGAATAATATCCAAATTTGGAACTCGGAAATTTCACTACAAATCAAGATTTTTATATGTATCTATGGAGTGAAGTTGTGCTAACAAAAGACAACTTTGCCCGTAATTGGCAAGGAAGTAACAAGTGTAGTTTTTGTACTCATCATGAGACAATCAAACACCTCTTTTCCGGTGCAAGTTTTGCACACTTTATGTAGTCAACCATCCAAATAGCGTCCAATTTGTATCCGCCCACAAGTATTGCCAATATTTGTAGTCACTGGTTGGATAGAATCCCAAATAGGTTTACATCACTAATAATGGGTGGGAGTGTATGCCTTATTATGGTCGTTTAGCTATGTACAAATGGTTTTTTGTTTAATGGCAAAAATTCCACCCTTTTGCAGGTTATTTTCTGTTGTAAACAAAATTATGTGGTCTATGCTACAGTAAACATAGTATGAACCATTGTTCAAGGCAGTGTGTATGTGGTTGGAGTGGGTGACCAGGGAGGTTTTTACCCAACATGAATGACAACAGAATCTCCGGATCGGTCCAACACCTGCTTCGACACTTTATTGTTGTTGAAACATCGGCCTTTATCTTTTATTTTGTCCGATTGTTGGTGTTTGGTTGTGTATCTCCTAACTATGCAGAGGCCGAATGTTGATCATCATGCTTTGTATTCACTTGATGCTATATTTGGATTAATAAAACCGCCCTTTATAAATTAAAAAATAATGCTTGCTCCCATTGGAATAAAGGACATCATCAAAGCATTGGATCTGGGATTCATGTCATGTACTAAAACTGATGTCCAGTATAAATTAGGTTTCTGAACCGGTAAACCTGATGCAGTGGTGTGGTTAAGATTGCAGCTTCTCTCAAAGTCAACCGAGTTTGGCATTGGATCTTGGAGCCAGACCAACGACTTGAGAAATTTATCCGCTTCGACTCACTGTAGTAACGAGGGCGCTGTTGGGCTGCATAATTTGAATGGCAGAATATTGGCAGGGACTAGGAAGTCTTGGTCCTCAGAACTACTGGAGTGCATAAATAAACAATCAAACAAACTGACCAGAGCAGAGCAGCTCCGGAAGCTTTGTTTCTGAGGATGTTTGTGAGGTGATGTATATGCAGATATGACATGTCCCTCTTCTCCTCTCCTAGTTTCCTCACTCTTCCCCTGCTTTAGCTGCACGATCCATGGTCTGTAGTGGAGCTGATGCAGCCGTGGCACCACTAGCCGCCCTTCAGTATGGCATCTGATCTGGGCTAGATGGCATTTTTCTTCCTTTTCTCCACGTTAGTTAGTTAGTTAACCTTTTCAATAATTGTTCAGATATACAACTTGTGTGTGGGAGGCTGGTCCTACCACATGGTTGCTGGTATTATTGCCTTTTCCACGCACCTAGATTGGCGGATTGGATCTGGAGGTCCTGTGGAAAACAAGTCAAATGAGTACTCTTTCTTGCCATCAAAGCCCTTGAACAAATGTTCTTTTTAGGGTACATAGGTTCCTGCCCCTAGAACAAATGCCCGGTGCTTCGGCAAAAGGAAAAAAAAACTTGAAGAAGATTTTGTAATGTACCGGTGGGTACCGAAATATTAATCACTTCAAAATTTTGATTAGATTCAAATCTAATCTAAATTTGCCGACATTTCATGAGTTCTGGTCGAGATTAATCAAAAAGAAACCGAATAGTTGGCCAATATTCACTGGGATGGGTGGCTATTTCGAACGTTTTTCTAGCCGGTTCTTCATAGACGCATGGCAATTTCTTCAGAGACGCATGGCATTAAAAGAAGAAAATTTTGCAGCAAAAATGGGCAGAAATTTCCATCTCCTACCACCTAAAAATGCCATTAGAAAACATTCGCTTGCCATCCCCCTCGTAGAGAACGTTCGCTAGTTAGTATTTCCAATCGAAAATAGTTTATGGGTACTACTGTTACAGGCTCGAATAACATGGTGACCCTACTGTTACAGGCTCGTGTAACATCCAAATGCTCTACTTTGTGGGTACGTCATTATCCCTTTCGAGTGCCTACCGAGGAACGACTTGAGTGCCAAATTCGGGGCCCCTAAGCTATATGTCTGTACTTACCGATGGTAACCCTTTTTATTACAGAATGCAATAATTTGTTACTACCTTAAATATATTTGTGTATAGAATTTTATCTTCATTCGTTTTGTAGTGTTGTGAACATATGTCCTTTCGTCCTAATTAAGTATTCTCTTTCGGTTCCAGAATGAATAAAATCAGCATACCCTATGTTTCTTGATCAGATCTCCAAACCAGCGGTCGGTGACCACAAAGTGTTATATGATCAGATCTTCTCCCAGACACAGTGCCCACAAAACAGACCTTGATCCATGCCTTTACAGCCGTGCAATTGTAAAGGGAGCTTTCCGTTTTCTCCTGCGTCCTTTCATCCCATTGTTTATTTGTCAAGTTGCACCCACCGGATTGTTTGTACTACCACAAACCGATGCAAAACACATTATTAACCAAAAAAACGGAGACACACGAACAACCTGTAATTGGCGACGTGCGTTTAATAAGAGAAGACGTTACCGTCGACCACAAAGACGCATGTGACGAATTTGTCTGCGTCTGTACTGTGTTAACAAAATGGAGACATGGGAAGGGAAAGAGTGACGGCTCTGGGTTGTGCAAAATAGCACTGATTTTTCTTTGTTTCTTGCAGAATATGATATATATACCTGACATCAGTTTTCACACCTTGCCACCAATTCTCAAAGGGCAGGTTGCAAATGGGCCATCCTGTTCCTATATAAACAGTGGACTCGGAGAGAGACTGTGTGTCCTCAGTTCGTTCTCACACATGTGGGGTTCACGACTAATTGCTGGCTCCCCACTGGAATTTGGTTCCCACATGTGGCGAGCACGACTCTGATCTGCCTGCATGAGGCCACCCCTCCCTCTCTGCCATCAGCTCCACAAGAAGCTGCTAAGAGACTGAGGCGCTCTTGGATCACTGCACACTCCCCTACAAGGTACGTACTTGGAATTCACTTCCCTTTTCTTCTCCATCTACATCTCTCTCTGCTCGCCCCCTTTGTTCCTTCCTCCGTATATTGGTTGCATTTCTCTCCCAGTGCTCCGGATGCTCTGTTCGGTTCAGAATTCAGATGCAATGCGAGCAGGTCCCCATCATTGTATTGTTCGCGTGTGGTGCGACCTCGCTTCTGATTTGTTGCATCGAAATCCTGTTTCCGAAAATGATTCACAGTTCTCCACGGTTTGATTTGGTTTCTTATCTTGGAAAAGACAAGACATGAGAAAGCCCAAATCCCATGCTCTACATTTCTTCTCGTGCTCTTTCTTGATTTGCGCATGGACAGTGACTCGCGTTTCCAGCAAAGAGCCATCCTGCTAGGCCTTTTCCCAACATCTCCGTAGATCGTACGACTGAGACATATGATCCACCGCCAATCCTCGTGGCTTCTATACATTTCGGCTGAACGGTGGTTTGTTTCCCCTTGTTCCAGACATCCCAGAGCAGATAGACAGAAGAATGGAGAGGAAGAAGAAGGGGTGGTTCGAGCGCATCAAGAGGCTCTTCATCTCCGAGCCCAAGCAGAAACCCAAGCCAGACAAGGTATCGTCCCAATCTTGTTTCTTGTAATCTCCGGAAAATTCATGTAAAATTACGGGTGATTCCATGGTGCAAGATTTTCTCCTTTTTTGCAGAAGGTGAAGAGCAAGAGATGGCTGGTAGGGAAGCTCAAGACCCAGCACTCGTTTGCCCTGCCAGCTCCGGAGCCGGAGCCGGCGACGGGTCAGATTCAGATCAGGCACGCGGAGGAGGAGCAGAGCAAGCACGCGGTGGCGGTCGCGCTCGCCTCCGCAGCGGCCGCAGAGGCGGCCGTCGCGGCCGCCCACGCGGCCGCGGAGGTGGTCCGCCTCACAGGACCCCCCTCGCCGGCGCCGGCGCGTGAGGACCCCGCGTCTTCCGGCCACGAGCTGTTCGCCGCCGTCGCGATTCAGTCAGCCTACCGCGGATACCTCGTAAGCATTCTCGTTGGGCAAGAAAATTAAAGCTGGCCGTGTCCTGTAGTAACGCTGTCGCTGTGGGCGCAGGCGCGGAGGGCACTGCGCGCGCTCAAGGGCCTGGTGAGGTTGCAGGCGGTGATCCGCGGGCAGGCGGTGCGGCGGCAGACGGCGACGACGCTGCGGGGCCTCGAGTCGCTGGTGAAGATCCAGGCCCGGCAGCGCGCCAGGGCCGACGTCGAGCACGAGCAGGAGCATTCCCACGACGGCATGGACGCCCTGCTGAGGAGAGGCCGGGAGCTGTACGCCGCCGCGCTGCAAGTAAGTTCCACAGCTCATTTTTTTCTCGAGAAAATAAATAAATGTTTCACTCACTGGTCACTCTGCGGCGCCTGGTCGATCGATCGCCTGCCGGCCGGTGTGAATGAACGTGCGAATGATTTGCGACGCACATGCATGCGGCTGCGGCTGGATCTGCATGTGATGCGGGTTAAAGTTGGCAGCGGTCACGTCGTCGATGTGTCTCCTTGCTTGCTGGCTGCTGCAGCTTTGCTTTGACATCCTCCTCCTCCTCCTCCTGATGTGGATGTGGACCACTAGTGACTAGTTCTAGTACGTACACGCATGCATGCATACGCATGTGAAGGATGTTGGTGTTCATGTGCCTGTCGAGTCGAATGTGCGCTGCCTCTGCCTGCCCACATTATTCACTTGCGTTTCGGCACGTGGTGTGTCCGCGGTTTGTTGGTAGCCTGTAGCGTAGAGCCCAAATGTGCCGACTTGCTTGCAGTACGCCATTGCATCGCGTATCATTCTACGGATCTAACGCTCTGCATTATCATCACGCAAATATAATATAGTACAAAGCACTATTCCCTCTGTAAATAAGCATAAGACGTTTTAGATCATTAAAACATTTGTTTACAGAGGTAATACTACTGTAGTACGTAGCCGGTAAAAATCGGCCCACCAGGACAGGAGGCTCAAGCAGTCGTACAGATCCGAGAATAGTACTAGTGCAAGTAGTACTACAGTGAAAGGAAAAGCGAGATCGCATATTTCGACCGCCGTGAAAAATACTGCTGCGTCCTCATGCCGTGTCGTGTGCCGTCCGGGGGAAATGATTGATCTCGTCCCGTCCCGTCGCTGAAGCAAAGCCGTGTCCTGGAACGAATATGTGCAGTACTGCTACAGTTGGAGTATATTTCGTTATTCCTCCTCTCCTCATGCCGTGTGGTGTGCCGTGCAGGAGCAGCAGCAGAGCAGCCGGGGGTGGGACGGCAGCACCCTCTCCAAGGAAGAGATGGGCGCCGTGATGAGGAGCAGGGAGGAAGCCGCCATCAAGCGCGTGCGCGCGCTGCAGTACGCCTCCATCCAAAACGTAATACTCCTACTCCAGTAATCTCTCAAGTGTCAACATTCCGTTCCGGGATGGACGCACGAACTGTGGCTGACAAACAAAACAAACTCTGGCGTGCATGCATGGCAGGAGAAGATCGGCATCAGGAGGCAGCCCATGTCCAGGGACGAGATGGAGACGCTCAACCAGCGCTGGAGCTGGCTGGAGGAGTGGGTCGGTTCGCAGCCCTTCGACAAGGACGTGGCCGTCGACGTGGTCACCCACCCCCACCCGCCGCCGCCTCGCTCCAGGGACTCCCTTGCCTGCCTCGAGGACGACGACGACCGCGATGACGACGGCTACGGCAGGCGGCTCGGCTACTCGTCCAGGCGGTCCTTCGGCCGCGCCAGGCGCACGCCAGGGAGGGGGAGCATCGACGATGGGCTGCAGGCCTGCTCGCCGGCAGTGGCTTTCCCGGGGTACATGGCGTCCACGGCGTCCGCCAAGGCCAAGTTCCGGTCCATGAGCACGCCCAAGGAGCGCTTCGCCGTGCCATCCGACGCATACTCGGAGCAGTGCTTCGCCGACCGCCTCATGTCACCCATCCCGTCCATGTCGCCGATGCCGTCCATCGCCAGCGACATGGGCTTTGCTCGCTCCAGCAGGCCGCCGGTTGCGCAGCGTTCGCCGCGCGTCAAGGGGGGACCGATGACGCCGTCGAGGATCCGCTCCAGGAGGTCCCCGAGCCGCCACAGCTTCGGCTCTGAAGCCGCGCTGCACCAGATCCAGATGGAGCACTACACCCCTATTCGCTAGACACAAACGAACTTCTTTGTAATGTGACCAGTGCTGCCTTGTTTGGCGGCCTTGCTCTCTCTCTGGGTCTGACCATGGAAACCTTCTCAAACTGACCGTGCTGTGCTAATGCAATATGGATCTGCGAACTTTCAAAATGATGGGCGTGTGCACATACAACATGGAAGAACAAGAGAATTCAGTGATGACCTTGCAATAGCAGCTAGTATTCTGATCAACGTTTGTGAATAAGTAACAATATCTCTCGAGGTCTATTCGGTATATGAGTAGCCGCTGATCCAGCAGCAAACTCCTGGTGGACACTTCGAGTGCAAGCAAACATCAACGCTTCAAGAGAGCTTCTTTTCTCCATATGGGGACCGTGCATCTAGACTACAAGTTCCTCATCTAATAATGTAGACATAAATAGACAATGAGTGAACATTGGTGACAGCAAAAGGTGTAAAGATCCCTTTTAATAACCATAGATTTTCTTCAGTGAGGGAAGGAGTGAAACTCACACGAAAGCTCATCACTACTTGATCATGTAGAATTCTAGCATCTCTTGTTCCACAGGGTGAGTCTCTCCCACTATAATGAGACAGTGAAGGGGTGGTCCAAAATCAACATCTAGTAGTTTCTTCATGGGGCCAGCCACAATCTTCTGATCATCGCTTCCAAGGCGAGCTACACCCATACATAGCGAATCTGGACCATATGCTGGAAATAGATAGATCATCTTTTAATGTTCATTTTGCAGTAAGACTCAGTTTAATATATATAGTAAACAGAACATCTAAAGCACTCTTAAGAATATCATTGTTGCAGAATTTAGAGCAACTCTAGCAGATCCCGCAAAAGCTCGCCGGCCCTTAAAATTCCATCCGTTTTGCAGGATCTCCGTTTTTTTGGGCCTGAACAGATCCACTAAACGAAGCCCGGCCCCATAAAAAATTTACAGGCGGCCCACAAATCCACCCCTCTGGAGCTATATGTACGGGGTTGGCCGGGTTTTAGGGTTAGCAAACCCTATCCCCTCCGCCGCAATCCGCCCGTGCCACCGCTAGACCTCCCCAACCCCGGCGACAAATTCCGCCGCTTCTCTCCTTTTTTTCCTTCTCCTCGATGGCCGGTGGCGCTGGAGGGTGTGGCAGCCATGGCGGGTCGCCTCCGCAAGCTCCCACGGCACGACGCAGAGGCCAGCAGCTCCAGCCGGCCCGCCGTTGAGCCATGGCGCTCGAAGCAAGCGCACAACCACGGCCGGCTCTCCCGGAGCGGCGGGCATAGCCCTTGGGCCGGCTTCCACGAGCTCCACTGTTATGAACGGTGTCTCATATAGCCGGCGGAGACCCAATGGCGCGTCTAGTTAGGGGCTTAGCCCAACTTATCTTTATTTTTATTAGCACTTCGAGGATTATATGAACACTTGTAAGGCCACCTTTTGGAATTAAGCAATAAGTCATAACTATTGCCCGGCTCACTTTAGGAGCCGAAACCCTAAAACCCTAGCCGCCCCCTGCCTCCTCCTCTCGCCGCCGCCCGCGCCCAGCCCCTCGCCATCCTCCCTTCCATCCCCACAACCTAAGGGCTAGACCTGGTAGGATCCCAGCTCCTATCAATCTGGTATCAGCTGTCTCGGGATCGATCATGTCTGCACCTCTTCCCACCACCACGCTTCCACCGCAGCCGACCACCACCTCGCCGCCGGCCACCTCCGCGGCTAGGGCGCCGTCCTTGTCGGGGCCGATGTCTTCCGCCGCTCGCCCCCCTCCCCCTGTCGTCTACACCCCGAAGGAGATGACGGCTGTCCTCCGAGACCTCACCCAGGCGGTCGCGGGCATCCGCACTTTTCTCGCCAGCCACTACGGGCCGCAGCCGCCGAGGCCCTTCGCCACCGCGCCACCGCCGCACCCCTCGGCGACGCCCTTCGCTCCCGCCGCGCAACAGCCGCCACCCGCGGCGCACATCGGCGCCTCCACCATACAGCCGCAGCAACAGCCCCATGTCGCGCCCACCGTGGCGCTGTCGCACCAGCAGTTGTAGCCGCCGCCGGCCGCGACCCAGGGTGCCCCAACGACGGCTCCGGGGGTGCCCGTCCACCAGGTCCAGTTTCCCCCATCGCCATCACCGCTATCGGCCTGGCTCGCCGGGTCCCTCGAGCCGGTCTACACGACAGCCTCCGGACAGCCACACGTGTCGTCCCCGCCGGTGCCGTCCTCGGCCATCCAGTTCGGCAGGGCCTCGGGCTCCGCCGACCCCTACGGCGGCGTCGACGGGCCCCTGTTCCAAGGTGGGCCGCTGTCGTCCTCGCTGCTTCGCACCGATGAGGTGTACCCCTCCACCGTCCATGGCCAGACACCGCCGCGCTTCTCCAAGCTCGAGTTCGCCACCTACGACGGCACAGTGGACCCCCTGAACTGGCTCAATCAGTGCGACCAGTTTTTCAAGGGGCAACGCACGCTCGCGTCCGACCGCACCTGGATCGCCTCCTACCACCTTCAAGGCGCCGCACAGACATGGTATTACGCCCTCAAGCAGGATGAGGGCGGCATGCCTCCGTGGGAGCGTTTGCACGAGCTTTGCCTCTTACACTTCGGGCCACCGGTACGCGGGAGCCGGCTGGCGGAGCTTGGGCGCCTACCCTTCACCTCTTCGGTGCAGGACTTCGCCGACCGCTTCCAGGCCCTGGCGTGCCACGCGCCCAGCATCACGGCTCGCCAGCAGGCCGAGCTCTTTGTTGGCGGTCTGCCGGATCATATCCGCGTGGACGTGGAGATGCAGGGCTCACAGGACCTCCAGACGGCCATGTACTATGCCCGCACCTTCGAGCGGCGCGCGGTGGCCATGCAGCAGGCGTCACCGTCCCGGGGCGCCCGACAGACCGCCCGGCCGCCACCGACACCACCAGCGGCGGGACGTCCGGCCCAGGCCCCCGCGACGCATCATTTCCGCCGGCTCACCCCGACCGAGCAGCTCAAGCGCCGCCGTCAGGGGTTGTGCTACAATTGCGACGCCTTCTCGTGGGATACTGAGGCAACCGAGGCGTTCACGTCCCTCAAGCAGGCGCTCACGACGGGGCCGGTCCTCCAGATGTCGGACTTCGACAAGCTCTTCATGGTGGACTGTGACGCCTAGGGCGTGGGGTTTGGCGCCGTCCTACATCAGGGTGACGGGCCACTCGCGTTCTTCAGCAGGTCCTTCGCAGCACGCCACCACAAGCTCGCGGCCTACGAGCGGGAGCTCATTGGCTTGGTGCAGGTGGTGCGCCACTGGAGGCCATATTTGTGGGGGCGGCCATTCCGTATTCGCACGATCACTACAGCCTCAAGTTCTTGTTGGACCAGCGCCTCTCCACCGTGCCGCAACATCAGTGGATCAGCAAGTTGTTTGGCTTCGACTTCACCGTCGAGTACCGTCCGGGCCGCCTCAACACTGTGGCCGACGCACTGTCTCGCCGCGACGCCGACCACGACACCGACACGGACGGGCCCGCGGGCGCAGCCCTCTGCATCCGCTCTAGGCCCTCCTTCGCCCTCATCGCCAGGGCATTGCGAGCGCTCTAAATGCGCGGCTCCTTCGGCAGCGCCTCAACGCCGGCGACCTGGAGGAGCCGTGGCGCTTGGCAGATGGCCTGGTCCTGCACGGGCGTCGGCTCTTCGTACCGGATCACGGCGACCTCCGTCACCAGGCCCTGGTGCTAGCCCACTCGGTCGGTCACGAGGGCGTGCAGAAGACCCTCCACCGTCTCCGGGCAGATTTCTACATCCCCAGCAACTAGGCGCTGGTGCGAGACTAGGTGCGGTCTTGCATGACATGCCAGCGCAACAAGACGGAGACACTGCGGCTGGTGGGCCTACTATAGACCTTGAGGTGCCATCTCAGGTCTGGGCCGACATCTCCATGGACTTCATCGAGGGCCTTCCCAAGGTGGGAAGCAAGTCCGTCATCCTCACGGTGGTCGACCACTTCTCCAAGTATGCACACTTCATCGCGCTCGGCCACCCCTGCACCGCCGCCTCCGTGACGCGTGCCTTCTTCGACGGCATCGTCCGCCTCCACGGGTTCCCCTCTTCGATCGTCAGCGACCGTGACCCGGTGTTCACTCGTCATGTCTGCCGGGATCTCTTCCGGATGGCGGCGTGAAACTACGCCTCAATACGGCATTCCACCCCCAGACGGATGGCCAATCCGAGGTGGTCAACAAGGTGATTGCTATGTATTTGCGCTGTGTTACAGGTGATCGTCCCCGAGCTTGGGTGGACTGGCTCTCGTGGGCGGAGTACTACTACAACACCTCCTACCACTCCGCCCTGCGCGCCACACCTTTTGAGGTCGTCTATGGTCGCCCTCCACCACTCATCCTACCGGTTGACCCCGGGACGGCCCGCACGGAGGCGGCTGGCGACCTTCTCTGCATCAGGGACAAGATCCTTACCGAGGTGCGCCAGCGTCTACTCCAGGCCCAGCAGCTGTCCAAGAAGTACTATGACGGCCACCACCGCGAGGCGGAGTTTGCGGTGGGCGACTGGGTGTGGTTGTGGCTCCTTCACCGCTCTACACAGTCGCTGGATCCGCGCGCTAAGCGCAAGCTGGGCCCTCGCTACGCGGGCCCATTTTCGATGGTGGAACGCATCAGCAAGGTCGCCTACCGCCTTCAACTTTCGGCCGGCGCGTGCATCCATGATGTCTTCCATGTGGGCTTGCTCAAGCCTTTCCGCAGTGAGCCACCCTGGCTGCGCCAGCGCTTCCTCCAACCTCCGATGGGCGTCTTCTTCCGGACCCAGCGAAAGTGTTGAAGGCCCAATAGCGCCGCGGCGTGTGGCATTTGTTGATCCAATGGCAAGGCCTTCCGGAGGAGGACGCCACTTGGGAGCGGCTCCAGGAGTTCCGCCAGCATTTTCCAGACTTCCAGCTCGAGGATGAGCTGTTTGTGCAGGCGGGAAGAGATGTTATGACCGGCGTCTCATATAGCCGGCGGAGGCCCAATGGCGGGTCTAGTTAGGGGCTTAGCCCAACTTATCTTTATTTTTATTAGCACTTCGAGGATTATATAAACACTTGTAAGGCCACCTTTTGGAATTAAGTCATAACTATTGCCCGGCTCCCTTCAGGAGCCGGAACCCTAAAACCCTAGCCGCCACCCTGCCTCCTCCTCTCGTCGCGCGGCCACGGCGCCGACTGGCCGCCCGCGCCCAGTCCCTCGCCATCCTCCCTTCCATCCCTACAACCTAAGGGCTAGAACTGGTAGGATCCCAGCTCCTATCATCCACGACCAACTCTTTCCGCATTTTCAAAGTTGCCAAGAGGACGATGCGTAGCTCGTCGCAGCGGAGAAGGCTTTGGCGGCCAGAGAAGAAGGTGCCGCCGACCGTCTCACCGTTGCCAAGGAGGAGGCCGACCTCGCCAACGCGCTCCACAAGTCTGTCGTGAAGCTCTACCTCGGCGTCGACGAGTGACCGTCGACTTTATGTTTAATTTGTAGCGCGAAGATGTTTAATTTGCTATGTATGCACTATGGTTGTGTTGAACTATTTTCTAGCTGAAGATGTTTTAAAATTTGCAGTACGAGATTTACAGGATCTGTTCCGCCGGGGCCTTCACGTTCCTGCAAAATCGTTTTCGACTTTTCGTGGGAACCCTAAAATGATTTTTGCAGTACCGGATTTTTGTGGATCTGCTAGAGATGCTCTTATCAGGTTGTGACATTGATCAGAATGTTCCAAATAAAGCTAACTCGTAGGAAAATAAGTTAACAAACACTAGAAAATACCAGATCCCCCATGCAGTTCCTCCACCTCCAAAAGCTGACTTATTGCAGTGTTCACGGTCATGAATCTTGCTGGTTCGTACACTTTCTTTCCTCTGAAAGCAAACATCTCAATTATACAAAATGGCAAAAGACTACTTACATCACACAACATTGAGCAAGTCTTTGGGAGGAGAATGCATAGACAAGAGATCTCTAGTGCATATCTAATTCTCGTTAGAAATATTTTGTTATTCACGAGAACATACTACAAAGATAGATAATACGTAAATTACCTGCATAAGGACTCAAGTGTTGGCTCCTTAACACGGATGTCTGCATTGGATAAGAGAACTACTAAGTTATCTGATAACAAGAACCCCTAACCAAGCCCCATTAGCAGTAGCCGATAAAGTGGTAGTAGTAGTATGAGGACTAGTACTGAAAACAAATTTGCCGTACGTTCAAATCATCAGAACTAGTATATCTTAACTTGCAAACAAAGTGATTGGAGGAGCGCCAGTTGCTGTTAAATTACAAGAAACCATGACTAGGAAATGTGTAAATGACTAGTAATGGCGTATATTCATCAGAATTATATCATAACTTGCAGACAAAGTGATAATAATTTCACTATTACAAGAAACAGTGACTAGGAAATACGCAACTGTCTAATAATGTCACACAGTCATCAGAATTATATCCTAATCTTGTCACGGTATATAAATATGTTGAGCATTTGTGCATTTTTCATAAAAAGAACGAAGACCCAATATCATGAAGAGAAATATTAACAGTCAGACATGCCATGTGTCTCAGCCTGTCATGGTTAATCTCAGGAATACCAAGTGCTAAATGTTGTTTGCATGGTTCAAGAAAGCAATACCAACCTAGTAGGCAAAGAGTATGCAAGCCAAGTCGACGACTGTTCTGAATTTTCTCATAGAAACTGTCCGGTCTCCATGTCTCTGTGAAGAAAGGTATAGAGATGGTCTCTCCATAGCGGTAAAGTTGCAACCCACAAACGCCAATAGCATTGATGACAGATGCATTGTGGATAACCTTAACCTCTACCCCCATGTTCTTGGCACGAACAACCAAATCAGTGTGTGTGGTCGCCCTGCAAATTTCATCACAATCATGTGCAGGTTAAACGTTTGACTTATTAAACTAATATAAAAATCTGTGAATACAACAAGAAAATGACACATGGGAGAAAGTCCACACACTTAGCTTACACAATGGCATGTACAAAAAACAGGATCATGCATCCAGGGCAAACATGTGAATGGACAAAGAAAATAAATAGCATGGATACACATATATAAATGTACAGTCTGTTTGATTAAAGGCGCATGCAAATAAGTGCATATATACACAAATGCACAAAAACATGCTTGCGTGTGGGATGAGGGAGTTGCTTGTTTCCCTAAAAGAAGTCTAGAATTGATACCAAATACTTATGCAAAACACAACCAGATCATTATTAGTATAAATAATTGACCACACGAGCATCCACATACGAGCAAATGAGCGCACTGCCAATAGCACACTGAACAGAATCGCACAATATCGAAGTCTCTGAAAAAATAGAAATGAGCACACATATCCTACACGCGCACGACCCAACAGAGCGAGCCAATCCAAATACCGGAAGAAAGCGTAGCAACCATTACCCAAACGGGTCGCCGACGACGAGGAAGGCGACGTCGGCTTCCGCGGCCTCGCTCAGCATCTGGTCCGCGCGCTCCTCTACCATCTCGCGGTCGGCGACCGTGATCTCCTTGCCGTACATCTTCTCCTGCAAACAAACGAGCAGCAAAGGGAGATGAGGGACGACCACTTACCCTGGTTCGGCCGCGCAGACATTTGCGCGAACAGGTGGTGGCCATCCAAGAGAAGAGAGAAACGCACGAGGTTGGCGAGCGAGGCGGGGTCGAGGCCGAGAGAGAGGAGGGAGGTGTAGGCCTCCATGTAGACCTTGGCGCAGCGGCGGACGGCGTCGAGCCCCCGCACCGTGATGTCGCGCTCGTCGCCGAGGCCGAGGCCGACTATGTAGAGCATCGCCGCGGTCGTTCGCTTTCTCCGTGCTCTGTCGTCTCCAGGTGGGGGAAAACTGGCGACTCGCCGTCTACTACTCTCAAAGCCAAACAATTATACCATCTCGAGCTGGGGTGAGCCGGTGCAAAAAATGGATCTGGGCGAGTTGGCCCCAGCCGCCTGCCTCAGAGTTGCCCCAGACGCGTTTAAAAATTTAAAAAAGTATAGCAAATTTCGACACAGTTCGGCGAAGTCCGGCTAAACACGACAAATTTCGGCCAACTTGAACATATATTTGGACAAAGTTCGCCGATTTTCATTACATAGCAAATATATAATAAACTAATTTAAAAGAAACTGGTTGAACACCGAGGAGTCGCCGTCGTCGCCGCCATCCTTGTCGTCGGCCTTCTCCTCCTTGACGTGGGCGCCCCTGCTGGACCCAGCGTCGCCATGGCGGACTGGTGGCGGCGGCGGCGCGTCGTCGATGACGACGACTCCTCCTTCGTCGCGGCCCCGGCGACGCTCCGCGAAGCGCTGCAGGGCGGCGCACTGGCGCTCCATCGCCATCTTGAGGGAGTCCTGGCGTGCCCATTCAAGGGTCGCGTCATCGTCGCGCTCGACCTCGCCGTGCTCCGTCTTCACGGCGGCGAGCCCCGGCTCTGCCTTCACCGGCGCGAGCCCCGGCTCCGTCTTTGGCTTGACGAAGCGCGGAGGAGGAGCCGACGAGGAGGCACACCGGCCGGCCTCGTTGATGACGACGCCGGCGCTGCGAGTGTGCCGGCCGAGCAGCGACTCCGCCGCGGGCTCGGCCTTGACGCCGAGCAGCGCCGGAGTGCCGGAGGAGTGCGAGGAAGAGCGCGAGGAGGAGGAAGAAGAGGAGGAGCCGAACCTCCTTGGCGCCCATGGCCCGTCGTGTCGGTGGTGCGCCTGGGCGGCCACCCTCGCCGGGGGGTACACCAACGGCGGGTCGTTGCCGCCCTCGAGGTGCGTCAACACACCCTCGAGTGTGCGACCGGGGACGCCCCACCACAGGTGGTGCCCCTCGCTGTTCTTCAGGCCGCCGACCACTGTCGCGCCGTTGGTGGACGCCATCCGCTGCTGCTGACGGCGCTCGAAGTACGCCGCCCAAGCCGCATGGTTGTCGGCGCCGTACTGGGGGAGGGAGAGTTGGGCGGCGGTGAGGGAGGCACGCACGACGTCGACCTCCTCGGTGAAGTAGGCGGGTTTGGCCACGGCGTCAGGCAATGGGGGAATGGGCACTCCCCCATTGCTGAGCCTCCAGCCCGTCGGCCCGGCGCGCATGTCCGGCGCCGCCAGGATGTTCGCCTGGAATAGGAGCCAGGACTCCTGTTCGCGGAGCGTGCGGCGGCCGAAGCCGTTGGTCGCCGCCTCGTCTCCGGGGAAACGCTCGGCCATCGGGGAGGGGAGGAGAGAGGGGAGGGGCTGGGCGGCGGCGCTCGGAAGAGGGGAAGGCTTGGCGGCGGCGCTCGGGAGAGGTATAGCTCGGTGGCGAGGGCTGGGCTGGTGTGGCCACAGGCGAGCGAGGCAACCAGCTTATATAGCCGCGCCGCGCCCGTGTGTACGCGTGCGAGGGAGGGGAGGCGGCAGCGCGCCGTCTCATGACGCGCCGCCCGTGAGGAATCAATGGCAGGGCTGACCGGCGGCGGCAGCCTTGCCATTGATTCCCCACGGGAACCGAGGCGTTAGGGGAAGACGAGGCGCGGTGTCGTTGACGCGGCTGGCCCACGGCTTTTTCGCGCCAAAACCACTCGCCCCGGCGCCCCCGGGCGCCCCCCGGCGCGCCGGGTTCGGTCTGGGTCCGCCGGCGCTGATTTTGGCCCGGGCCGGCGAAAATCGGGCTCCTGGGGGCGTGACTGGGCCGTTTTTTCGGCGCCGGCGCGAAAAAATCGCATGGGGAGGCCTTCCTGGGGGCGCGGCTGGAGATGCTCTAATAAGCCCTTCCCAGACGATTTTCAGCGTTGGACCCATAAATCGGCCCAATCGCGTTTTAGCAGGTTGTTTTTCGCCAGTTTAGGTCGAAACTAGCGCCAGCGGACCCAGACCGAACCCGGCGCGCTGGAGGCGTCCGGGGGCACCGGGGCGAGCGTTTTGACGCGAAAGAGCCGCGGGCCGGCCAAGTCGGCGACACGCGCCTCGCCGTCCTCAGAACGCCTCGGTTTCCCGCGGGGAACCAATGGCAAGGCTGCCGCCGGTCAGCCTTGCCATTGATTCCTCACGGGCGATGCCTTCCCTCCTGCCACGCATACACATGGCGTGGGGCTATAAAACCAGCGCCTCCCCCTCGCCTCTGGCCACACCAGCCCATAGCCGCCACCGAGCTCTGCTTCTCTCCCGTGCGCAGCCGCCCGCCGACGTTCCTCCCCTCCCCTCTCTCCCCAACCCCATTCGATGGCCGAGCACTTCCCTGGCGACGCGACGGCGACCAACGGCTTCGACCGCCGCTCGCTCCACGAGTGGGAGGCCTACCTCTTCTTCGAGGTGAACATCCCGGCGCCACAGGACATGCGCGCCGGGCCGACGGGGTGGAGGCTCAGCAACGGGGGCGTCCCCATTCCCCTGGTGCCCGACGTCGGCGCGCTCCCCGCCATCTTCGCTGCCGAGGTCGACCACGTGCGGGCGTCCCTCGCGAAGGAGCAGCGCGCCCTCCCCCAGTACGCCACAGACAACCACGTGTCGTGGGCGGCGTACTTCCAGTGCCGGCAGGCGCAGCGGCTGGTGTCCAGAACGGGACGCCGGTGGTGGGGGCATCAAGAACAGCGACGGCTGCCACGTATGGTGGGGCACCCCCGGCCGCACGCTCCATGAGGTGCTCCAGCACCTCGAGGACGGCACTGACCCGCCGCTGGCATACCCTGCCGCGGCGGCCGCCCCGGTCCCCCGCTGGAGCGTCGGGCAATGGATGCCCAGGAGGTTCGGCTCCTCCTCTCACTCCTCCTCACACTCCTCTTCCCATTCCTCCAACTCGCCGGCGGTGTTCGACGTCAAGGCCGAGCCCGCAGCGGAGAAGCCGCTCGGCCGGCGCACCCGCAACACCGGCATCATCATCAATGAGGACGGCAGGTGTCGGTTCAATATCCGGTGTATCTCGTAGTAGGGGTCCTAAGCTAGGCGTCTTGGAGCGATGGTAACATGGACACAGATTTTACCCAGGTTCGGACCCTCTTGATGAAGGTAAAACCCTATGTCCTCCTTTGATTGTATTCATATAGGTGTAGTATAGAGTGCATGTATCTACCACGAGATTGTTCTAATGAATATGAGATTGTCTATTGACTAGCCTGCCCTCGGTTTATATATGCACCGTAGGCCTAGGGTTTAGAGGAGTCCTTGTCTTGTGCGCCAAGTCTTTGTAGAATCCTCCTTGTATTCGGCATGGGCTGCCCGAAGTGGCCCATTAGTGAATCATTGTGGGGTCCTCGGCCCGATCCAGCTGGTCGGGAGACGATGTGGTGAGTACCCCCTAGTCCAGGACACCGTCAGTAGCCCCCTGAATCGGTCTTCAAGTTGGGGACACTCCTCAATTCTTCCGAACTTTTCTGCATCTTCGGTCGTCGGTCTTGAAAACTGGTTCAACAAATCTTCTCATCTTCGATCTTGAGGATCGCCGAAGTAAATCCGAAGAGTTTACACGTCGGGTATCCGAGGAGCCCCTTTAAATTCTCGGCCTTTATCAATGCCTTGTTATTTTTTACGCCATATCTCGGGTTTGAAGTTGTTCCCGTGTTGTTCCCGTGCGGCGGTGTCCTCTTGCATCCGAGCTCCAATGTCGGACTGCATTCAAGGTATCTTTTGCAGTCGAGCACCAACATCAGACTGTATCCGAGCTCCAATGTCGGACTATATCCGAGCTCCAACGTCGGACTGTATCCGAGCTCCAACGCCGGACTATATCCGAGATGTCATAGATCACCTTGGCTTGAAAAGGTTTGAATGAGTTCATCCGAGCTTAATGCTGGAAATGTCCTCTACGGAGCCAGCCACTTGTATCTGAGCTTTATGCCGGACTGCTTCCGAGGTGATGCACCACCTCAGGCTTGGGCTGATTTTTTGCAGATATATTTTTCTTGATTGGTGCAATTTACTCTTTGCCGAGATATATAACCAGTAGCCCTCAAGGTGTGTGTCGGTCTAAAACCCGAAATGCACCTGAAGAAAAACATGAAACCGTTGATGCCAGTAGCCCGTGAGATCCATGTCGATTCAAGAAATCGGCCTAAGGATCAAATCCTAACTCGACAGCATATGTTGGAATAGAAACGCGGTGTAATATTTTAGAGAAGATAATGATCGGCGGACAGGCCCTTGAGAGAGGATCTCGAGAAGTCACCATAATGTATTAGCTTGATGTCGGATAGGTTCCAAATGGCACCTATTGTTGTCCAAAGACACGTTTGCCCATAGTTCGGTCAAGCCGAACACTGAGCACTTTGAATTTTCTGCATTGAATAGGAAATGCAATAGCCCCCGGGACACTGGTCGGGTGGCAATACTAAATCAGGGGATCGATGTGCCCCTTAATATTAGTAAATGATAATCCCGAAGCCTAGTAGCCCCCGAGCCTTAATGCGGGCACGGGTGGCCGAATTTAGAATCGGTATCTGGAGTAAAATCACAAATTACGTGTGATGATTATATGTATCCAAGTACTCTACATCATTCATGCTCGGATCCGCACTGTACAAAACTTTGTTGACTGACCATCGGCTTCAACCTCCTCGGCCAGTAGCCAGGGAGTGTTTGTCCCACTTTATAAAGCCTTTATGAGGGAAAAGATTTACGACAAGCAAGGCAATCCGGCCATACGGTTTTATAAACAAAGGTATGCGGAGAGAATGTTATATTACTATGTAATGTAAAAAACATCTTCCAAAGAAAATAGTCCCGCTATCAGTTCCTTTCTTTGGGTTGTCATGCCGACCATGATCATGAAACCTCACCTCCGATCAATGCGGGAGAAAAATATTGAGGATTTAGTTTGGGGAAAGTTCCCGAACTATGTG